AATAATCTATTATACTGTCTTTGTTACGCTGATATTGAAAGAAGGATCGGCTTCTATACTGAGGCTACAATCCTACATATCAATTTACTTCACAATAAGCTCTATTGAACTCAATGGAGTTTTAAGCCTGAGTAAATATACACATATTGCAAGCTTTGCCAAATATAGATGTGTGTATGTGTGTGTGTGTTAGTTAATGAATAAAGCCAAATGAAATGCAATCAGGCAATATGTTTCCTCGTTTGGACAAATAGAGTAAGAACTATGCTTTGCATTCAACTTCAGAAGTACATTTTCATCAATCTGGGCTTATTCCCAGTTTGCTCCTCCACACCTATTGGGAGTCTCATTGAACTCAGCAAGACTTATTTTCCAAGAAACAGGAAATCAACCTCAGAACCTTTTTCAAATCACAACAGTGCTCCTGTTGTGTCGTGCTCCTGACACGACAAAAAAAAGTGACAAAAATAAAATCCAAGAATGGATGCAAACAGGACGTATTGTTTTGAATATGCTAATACATTATTGTTATTATTATTCCCTGCTTTATCTCTCCTGAAAGAGACTCAGAGTATGAAACACAGTTTGAGTATCCCTTATCCAAAATGCTTGGCCCCAGGAGGTTTTTAAATGTCAGAATTTTTTACATTTTGGAATAACTAAGTTGGCACACAATGAGATATATTGGAGATGAGATCCATCTAAACACAAAATCCATTTATGTTTCATAGACACCACAAACACATAGCCTGAAGGTAATTTTATGCAATATTTTAAAATACATTTGCACATGAAATAAAGTTTGTGCACATTGAACCATCAGAAAGTAATTGTGTCACTATCTCAGTCACTCATACGGACAATTTTAGATTTTGGAGTATTTTGGATATCAAAGTTCTGGATATGGAACGTTCAATTTGTATATGGTAAATATGGCTGGATCTGTCAAGTACAATCACATAGAACTGCCTTTTAAAACATCTTTATCATCATGATCATACTTTTTAATATGCTGCCATGGTAAAATCATATGCTAAGCTTTATCATCATGATCATACTTTTTAATATGCTGCCATGGTAAAATCATATGCTAAGCAAAATGGAGCAAAAGATTCATCACACCTCTCTTGCACCACTGCTATTCAATGTATTTTCTGACTTTTGACCAGCCAAGAGGCCCCTTCCACCAGCTGAATAAATCCCATATTATCTGCTTTGAACTGGAATATATGACAGTGTGGACTCAGATAATCCAGTTCAAAGCAGATATTGTAGGATTTTCTGCTTTGATATTCTGGGTTATATGGCTATATGGAAGGGCCCTGGAAAAGTCAAGATCCAAATCACTAGATAACCCTTACCTGCCTCAATCTATTCCCCTCTTTCTACAATGACATAAAATATTTTTTCTCAATTCATCTGAAAATAAACTAACACAAGTTCAGTTGATTTAAAACCAAAACAGATACTGATCACCCTAATAACATATGGGACTGTTTATACTTGGAAATGAAACATAAATGAAATGCTAATTTATTTTGAAAACTTCCCCAGTTACTAAAAATTCACACTTTTTTGAAATTGGAAGTTTCAAACAGTGCATTGAGAGTATATTACGTTTAAGTTCCAAATGATTTCAGTGAGAAAAAGCAAACACACGTTGAACTTTTCATGAAAATGGACGAGACCCATGTTTCTCGCTCATACAAATAATATCCTAAAGAATTTTTCTTCCTTTGCTTAGCATTATTTTTAATAATAAAGCACATGTTTATACAGTATAACAATTATTCACAAGAAAAAAACATACATTTCAGTAAAATGTGACATTAGGTTCTTCTAAGTTAAAAATTAAGAATAACTCATACTAGCAAAAAAAAAGTATTGCTTACTTTAATAAGCACAACTAGTTCTCACTGATGCAGAAAACCTGTGTCTGAATTGTACTACTTAAGATAGCCAGTAGACACTCATAGGGCTGAATGATCCTTCATATAGAAAAAAGCAGGCGTTAGGAGAGAAAAAGTCTAACCTACCCTTTGTCACTCATCTGCTACCTTCATCCCTGTAGGGCAGTAGTTCCCAACCTTTTTGACCAGGGACCACTGTCCAATATTAGTACCAAAAGGGTTACGTATCCGTTTTTGGTCAACTTTAGATTTGGTTTGGTTATTTGAGGTTCAGAAAATTTGAGATTCAGAAAATTGCATTGGATAGACCACATCAGCTCTAGTTTCTGATCCAGAACATATGCCATCTAGTAGTCACCATCTGCTCGCCCACAGAAAACCATATTTAATAAGCCTCGGCACTATAAGAGGGTTTAGCGAGACCAGTCCCTCTCATTGCAACGGTGAGTCTGTGGATCATATTTTAGTTCTTGCAGACCACTGGTTGTCCACGGACCACAGGTTGGGAACAACTTTTGTAGGGATTTATTTATCATTATTTTATTATGGAACCATAGTCATTTGCTTGAAGTCCGGATGGTATCCTTCAGGCGACAGGTTTAAAAATTCAGTAGCAACTAGACTTTAAGAGTATTAAATATTAATACTGAAAATCTTGACACTAATTTTGTAACAATCACAGACTATTCCATAATCCCATTAAAACAAAGTACTTAGATTTAAGACAATATGGCCTCTGAGCCCAATACTTTGTCTGACTTGCTTTAAATCAGTTGAATCCTATTGATGTAAATGAAAACAACTTTCAAGTACATGTTTTGAACTGAGACCAAAAATGTTTAAATCAAACTACCTTGGTTATACTAAACTAGGGACTGAAACACTTGGTTACAGATTATCAGCCCAACAAGGAATCCCACAACCTGGGATATTTACATGTATTATACATGCAAAATACTGTGGTGCACTATTGAGAAGGCACTACTATTCAATATGCAATATGCACTATAAACTATACTAATACTATATATATGCAATATGCACTATATACATTGTACATTTCATATGCAACATGATAATGTGTTGTTATATTTTACAGTAAGCGATACTGCATAGTACAGGCATTACTTACACATTGTTAAACCTTGCCATGTGTGATACAGATCATTTTTATACAAAAATATGCTGAAAATTGATATGCCACACTTGCAATGCTACCAAATGTTTTTAATGCATTGTAACACGGGACTTGAACAAAATAAGACCCTTTCTAGATCTATTAATGTTTTATGTGTTCCAGCATTGTACTTCCTCAACAGCTTGGTGAGATTAAGTTTTGGGAAGCCCACAAGCAAGACACAAAGGCTTTCTGTCATTCTCTAACTTTGAACTTACACTGCAGAAACCATGATAAACATTCAAAGCCAGTCTGTCTTAAATTATTGTGAATCTTTTACACTTCAGTTATGCCATTTTTTCAACCATTTAAACTGCCATGACCCTGCCCAACAGAATCCTAAAATGTGCTTTTTTGCAAGGTATTTATAATTTTCTATCAGTGAACTCCAGTGCCTCAACAAATTATAAAGCTCAACTTTCAGAAGATGAAGCCATGGCAGTAGAAAGTGTACCAAACTCCTACCATTGTGCAGTGTGGATGGGACCTTAAGGGCAAACTGATCTTATCCAAGATACCTTCCTACTTCTCCATCTCCATCTTCAATTTCTCCAAAGATTGTCAACCCTAAACCACGTCTTAAATTTTGTATGTGTGACACCAAACAATTTTGCTGGCTTTCTTTACAGTAGATCCTTAGTCAGATGGATTGTAAGAGGACAACCTCTCCTGTTTGAATATCTGTCCAGTCCAATTCCAGTTGAGGATAAAGATCCAGAAGAAGGGAGGGCAGAAAGCTGGAGAGCAGATGGAGCAAACAGGACCACTTCTTCACTGCCTTCCTCCCAGTGCCAAGATGTACTTCACCACTAATTTAAATTACAGCACATCATTCTAATTTTGCATCTCTACCTATACACTTGTATCTACTAGTTTTACACAACCATGTCTCCTCTTTTGTGGGCACACATGGCTACCATATTCCTGATTGGGCTGACATTATAAAATCGAGTTTTATTATATATTCTGAAATAATAATAACCCAGCCCTTAATTATTATTATTATTTGTGTCAGGAGCAACCCAAGAAACTGCAAGTCGCTTCTGGTGTGAGAGAATTGGCCATCTGCAAGAATGTTGCCCAGGAGATTCCCCAGATGTTTTACCATCCTGTGGGAGGCTTTTCTCATAACCCCACATGAGAAGCTGGAGCTGACAGACAGGAGCTCACCCAGCTGCCCAGATTTGAACCACCAACCTTCCGAGTTTACATTTTTAAAAACAAACTAATCAGACCAATTCAACACCATTTTCCAAAATGGCTAGAAGTTTGAGCATAGTGCTATGACTCTGGAGACCAAGGTTTGAATCCTCTCTCAGCCATGAAAAGGTGACCTCACCTGAGTAACTCTCTCTCAGCCTCAGAGGCAGGCCAACTCTCCCTGAACAAACATTCCCAAGAAAACCCTATGATTAGTTCAATGTAGCGTTGCCATCAGTCTGAAACGCCTTGAAGACACACAACTACACCAACAATCCCTATCTATGCTTACAAACTGATTGCGAATCTCTCCTCTTCACAAACTTTTCAGCTGTGGCATATTTTCCACCAGCAAGATGCCAGAGATAGACTTCCCCTCGAGTTTACTTCTTGTAGGGCATGTGTAAGTGGCACCATAGTTAAAGCAGCAGAGCATTCAGAATGTGGAGGAGTCTCTTTCTCTGGAGACTTTAAAGCAGAGGCTGGATGGAGTGCTCTGATTGGCTGTTCCTCCATATGGCACAACTCTCTGAGTCTGTGAGCATTTGCCTACAGAATCCAACATCACACATGCCTGTTCCTATGGGGGGGGGGGGAGTGACATATGTACAATGTTTTCAAAGGACCTCCATGACAGGACTCCTCCTTGACTCCTGCTTGAAGGATTGCTCTCCTTTAGTCCTTTGGGTTCCAAGCAAGGCGCCCTCCTTCCCTCACAAGTACCTTTCCAAGCCGGAGGGGAAGCTGGGCTGCCTCATGTAGGAGTTGTTGGGAGCCCCGAACTGGCCCAGTCCGTTGAGCTGGGAGGCGGCGAGGCCCAGCAGTTGCTCGGCGTGCTCGACGGAGGCCGGACCGGGCGCCCGGCTTTGGGGCAGCGCCAACCGGTTGGGGGCTCCGTACATCTGGGCTCCAGGGGGCGAGTAGGCGCCTTGGAGGTGCCCCGTCGGGGAAGCCGAGTAGGGGTAGCTCATACCCGGGGGTTGCCTGCTCAACAAGCCGGGGCTGACTTGCTGCGCTTGGAAGCAGACCTCAGCGTTGCCCATCATGCCCAGCTCTCCGTTTAAGGGGTGCCCAAGAGCCTCGGCGATTCCTCCCGTCGGGGAAGCTTGGAGGCCGCTTGCTATCTGTTGCTGGGAGCTGATGAGGCTGTCGATGCTGAACATGCGGGGCGGCATGGCAGGCGGGGCGCCCGGGTAGTGGGGCAAGGAAGGCAAAGGGGTGTTGTAAGTGGCGCCCCCTCCTCCCCCTCCCCCTGCTCCGGGGGAATAGAGGGGTCCTGGGTATCCCCCTCCTCCCCCTCCCCCTCCGCCCCCATTGCAAGGCCCAGGCCGGCCCCCCGGGTTGGGGGTGAAGGCGCTGGCGCTGTGGACATACCCCGGGTAAGTGGTGAGGTCGGTGCGCTTGAAGCGCTTCCGCCGTCGGAGGAAGGAGCCGTTGTCGAACATGTCCTCGGCCGCCGGGTCTAGGGTCCAGTAGTTGCCCTTGCCCGGGTGTCCCGGCTCGCGGGGGATCTTGACGAAGCAGTCGTTGAGCGTCAGGTTGTGCCGGATGGAGTTCTGCCACTTCTTGGGGTTCTCCCGGTAGAAGGGGAAGCGCTCCGTGATGAACTTGTAGATGCCGCCCAGCGTCAGGCGCCGCTCAGGGGCGTTGGCGATGGCCATGGCGATCAGGGCGATGTAGGAGTAGGGCGGCTTGCCCCGCTGCACCGGGCGCTTCCTCCGCCGCCCTCCCGAGGCGCCCCCGACGGGGCAAGCAGGCGGAGGGGGGGGAGAGGGCGGAGGCGGAGGAGGGGGCTCCTCTTCGGCGGGCCTCTCCGCGGGGCTGCCCCGGGGCTCGGCTTTGATGGGCAGCGGCTCGGCTTTGGGGGGCGAGGCGGGGCTGGCCCCCTGGCTGGGCGAGTGGTGGAGGGAGTCGGCCGTCATGGTGCACATCCCCGGGAAGAAGGAGAAGCCGGCCAGATTCATAGGCGGGTCAACGGAGGCGCCCCCGGAGAAGGAGGCCGCGGGGAAGGAAGCTCCCGGGGTGGGCGCGGAGGAGCAGGATCCGGAGCGGGAGGGAGAGGGCGACGCTTTATATTGGGGCCCCGCCTGGCGCCACCCGCGGGCGGGCGACCCCCCGAGGCCCAAAGACTGCCCTCTCGCCCGCCCACCGGGGTGGGGATGTGCCTCTCTTGTGTGTCCCTCCAACCACACGATGACGCTTACTCGTGCTGCTCACCCCAAACAGAATCCCCTTCCCTTTCTGCGCCAGGGAAAGTCCAGGCCATGCAGGAATCGGTTTCTCACCCCAAGGAGCTCAGGCTGCCCCATGCTGCACCCGGCCCCCAACCCTGAGGAGAGGTGGGCAAGGAATAGGTAAAGGTAAAGGTTTCCCCCTGACATTAAGTCCAACTCTGGGGGTTGGTACTCATCCATGTCTAAGCCGAAGAGCCAGTTGTCCGTAGACACCTCCAAGGCCATGTGGCCGGCATGACTGCATGGAGCGCCCTTACGTTGCCTTCCCGCCCGAGTGGTACCTATTGATCTACTCACATTTGCATGTTTTTGAACTGCTAGGTTCGCAGAAGCTGAGGCTGACAGCAGAAGGGAGTATTGATTTACTTACATTTGCATGTTTTCGAACTGCTGGGTTGGCAGAAGCTGGGGCTGACAGCAGACGCTCACGCCCACTCCCCAGTTTTGAACCTGCGACCTTTCGGTCAACAAGCTCAGCAGCTCAGTGGTTTGCGCCATGAATAACATGAATTAATTATACAATTTGTGTATTTATTTACCCTATTTATACCCCGCCTTTCTCTACCCCAAGAGGGACTCGAGGCGGCTTACATATGGCAGTTATTCAAAGCCTTAAATGCATACCACGTTTATCTTGAAATCCACTGAATTAATATTAATACATATTAAAAATTTAAACATTACATTCAATATAAAAATCACGCCATTGAAAAACTGTAGTCTAAGGCCGTTAGGTAGTCATTGCAGAGTCGCCTGAGGGCTGAGAAGGGCGGCGGTATATAAATATAGTAAATAAATAAATATTCCAATTATATTCTATTCTTGCACTGCTTCTCCAAAGGCCTGGTCCCAGAGCCAGGTTTTTACTCTTCTTCTGAAGGCTAGGAGGGAGAGGGCTGACCTAATGCCACTAGGTAGGGAGTTCTACAGCCGAGGGGCCACCACTGAGAAGGCCCTGTCTCTAGTCCCCACCAGTCCCGCTTGCAATGGGATTTAGAGCAGGGCCTCCCCAGAAAATCTTAATCTCTGAGGTGGTTCATAGGGGGAGATACAATATGCCCCTTGGACCAATTGGAGCTTCTGAACAGTCTTCAAAGGCAACCCCAAGTAGAATACAAGCGCAACTGGCACACAAGTTGTCGTTCCTGGGTTATAAATGTCATTTCCTAATTGGTTCTATCATAACAAAATGGAAAAAAAAGTTTATTAAACTGCAAAAAAGACACCCTGAAGAACATTTTTCAATGACTATCTCATCCAGTCTCAACCAATTCAACATAGGGTTGCAGTGAGATGTCCGGTCTTTATAGCCATGCTCCAGAAGCATTTTCTCCTGACGTTTTGCCCACATTTGTAGAAGGCATCCTCAGAGGTTGTGAGATCTCTTGGAAACTAGGCAAGGGAGGTTTATATATCTGTTCTTCTTCCCACTCTGGACCTTCAACAGATATATCAACCTCTCTTGTCCAGTTTCCAACAGACTTCACAACCTCTGAGGATGCCTGCCACAGATGTGGGTGAAATGTCAGGAGAGAATGCTTCTGGAACATGACCATACAGCCCGGAAAACCCACAGCAAACCCAGTGATTCCGGCCATAAGTACCACATAAATAACAGTAATAACACTTTCAAAATAGGAACAGAAAAAAATCATTTTTATATGTTATTGTTAATTTTGTTATATGTTTTTGTTATTATGTTGCTTGTTTTGTTGTTGTTGTTGTTGTTGTTGTTAGACGCCACTTTAACTGCTATTGCCCAATGCTAAGCGGTCATGGCACTTTCACTTTAGCAAGGTCTTTCGCCTTCTCTGCACAAGAGTGCTGGTGTGACACCAAACTACAACTCCTATGAGATCTACAGCCCCGACATGACAGTTGAAGTGATGTCGAACTACATGAATTCTGCAGTATACACACTGCGGTGAGGGATAAAGTGATTTCACTGTGCAGGTGGTGCCATAGGAAGTCCTGGAACCACATTGAGGATGGGGATTACACAACTCACAGAGCACTGATGCACATTAAAGGCGTTCTTTGGCATGCTTTTGTGGGAGTTTGTAGTCTGACGGCTGCAGTATCAAATGGTCAGTGTGGGACAGCCGCATAATTCCTTCCATCCCAGGTAGAACCGAGATAGGATAGTATGTAGTTTACCATTGCAAGGGTCAGCTTAGATCTAAATCTGCTTATTCGAAAAATAGCCTCCTATTAAGTCCATGGGGCACTATTCCTAAAACAGCTGCCTCTTAGCCTAAAATGTACTCTGCTCCGAACTCAAGAAAGGAAAACAGAATGTCGGAGGACAGGAAAAGAGATTTAAATATGGGTTTAAAGCCAATCTCTAAAACTGTGTCATAGACACTGAGAACTGGGAAGCCCTGGCCCTTGAGTGCTCTAACTGGAGGTCAGCTGTGATCAGCAGTGCTGCATAATTCGAAGAGGCAGGGAATGGAGGGCAAAAGGGAGAAAAGTGCAAAGAGGAAGGCGCATCAAACCAACTGGAAACCGATGCCCTCATTGAGGGAGAAGATGCGGAACAAGAATAGGGCTCCACAGCCACCTACTGACCCACCGCCAAGACACCACATCTGGAAGACAATCATCCTCCTAGTCTAAGTAAGTAAGTAAGACTTGAACTGTCCTGGTTTAATGCTATAGAATCATGGGAGTTGTATTTTGGTGAAGCACTAGCAGTCTTCCACTACAACTCAAAGGCTTCTATAGCAGGCATGAGCAAACTTGGGCCCTCCAGTTCTTTTGGACTTCAACTCCCATCATTCCTAACAGCCTCAGTCCCTTTCCTTTCCCCCTCTGTCTCTATCTATCTATACACACACACACACACACACACACACACATGTCTGGAGCTACACTTGAAAATGTTCCAACTTACATACAAATTAAATTTAAGAACAAACCTACTCAACCGATCTTGTTCGTAACTTGAGGACCTCGCCTGTATTCATCTGGAGTGGGCGTGTGTCTACTTCAAAACTGAATCCCATAAAACGATTTGTGGGTTTTGTAAATTTTAGTTAAGATATATATATATATATATATATATCTTACTCCCAATTAGACATTAAAATACTGGTCGCTGCTTAATCTTTGGTGGAGTTCCGGGTTCAAAGCCCGCCTCCAGACACGGAAACGCACTGGGTGGCCTCGAGTCAGTCACACACTCTCAGCCTCAGAAGAAAACAAGGCTAAACCTCCTCTGGACAAACGTTGGGAAGATAACCCGATGTCAGAGTCCTCCTAAATCGGAAAAAGCCTCGGAAAGCATACAACAACAAAGGATTACCTTAGGATGGGATTCGACAAAATGCACTGAACAGTTGCTTAATAATGTGAGTACAATTAAGATCTAATTAATACCAGCCTAATCGTGTAAAACGGGCTGTTGTAAACCGTTTCAGAATACTCGGAAGCAAGTCCTTTGACGTGGGGTTTTCTTGAAGGATTGGGCTCGCAGTCCTGACATCCTTATAGAAGAGAGAACAGAGCGACCATCAGACACGCGTTCCTCAAAGAATCAACCCTATAGAAATCAATAGGATTCTTCATCTACACAAATTAGCTTACGACTCCTTAGGATACCACTTTAAGCGCTCGGGTGACCTCATCACACTAGAGAATGAATCCACTTTAAATCCCTTTCCTGCCTCCTGCAGAATTCTGGGGGTTGGAGTTTAGTGAGGCTGCGAAAGGCTCCTCCCTAAACTACAAACCCCAGAATTTAGATCTATCCTAACCGGTTTCAAACCGGTCTTGAGTGCCGATGGTTGCATAGGAAATCCTGAAACCAGTTTGAGGGCCGGATGGTCATTACGCCAACATTATGCACGGATGCGCATCAAGGCAGCCTCGAACTACGTTAAAATGGTCAGTGTAGATGAGGCGTTTGTCACACCGACTTGAACTTTTGGGTCTAGAATCATAGAGTTGGAAGAGATCTCATGGGTCGGCCATCCAATCCAACCCTTTGCCAAGAAGCAGGAAAATTGCATTCAAAGCACCCCTGACAGATGGCCATCCAGCCTCTGTTTAAAAGCTTCCAAAGAAGAAGCATCCACTACACTCCGGGACAGAGAGTTCCACTGCTGAATGGCTCTCACAGTCAGGAAGTTCTTCCTCATGTTCAGGTGGAATCTCCTTTCCTGTAGTTTGAAGTCATTGTTCCGCCTCCTAGTCTCCAGAGAAGCAGAAAACAAGTTCGCTCCCTCCTCCCTATGACTTCCTCTCACGTATTTATACATGGCCCTCGTCATGTCTCCTCTCAGCCTTCTCTTTTTCAGGCTAAACATGCCCAGCTCTTTAAGCCGCTCCTCATACGGCTTGTTCTCCGGACCCTTGACCATTTTAGTCACCCTTCTCTGGACACATTCCAGCTTGTCAATGTCTCTCTTCAATTGTGGTGCCCAGAATTGGATGCAATATTCCAGGTGTGGTCTATGTATCTCCGATGTGGTCCTTTCCAATCGCAATCCAGTGCGCTAAATCCCACTGACAGCCCAGCGTTCCCACTTGCAGGGCGAACGCCATTCAACTTGTCTTTCTTCTACTTACATCTCGATGGTGTGAAGTCTCCTTACGTGTTCCCCGAACCACAACGTGTATTTCAGAGGCAGGAACTGGGGAAACCACCTCTAGGGTTTCCTTGCTTAAGAAAACCCTCTGAAATT